GAACATCGCCGCCACCATCGCCGGGAACCACCATTGTTCGCCGGAAACCACTATTACTGCATGAAATCGTCGCCACTTACACCAGATTATGCCAGATCCCACCATCATACCTGTTAGCTCATCGGATTTGTCTCCGCCAATCGTCGAATCATGGTTTTTAAACTATCAGTCACCTAAAACGACTCCGACGACATAGAAACAATCAGATCCATCCTTCTTCGGCTCTGAAAACCCTTCAACGCAAGAAACCATCAGTCGTCTGTCGCCGACTCGATCTGTCGTCGAACGACCACCAGAGTCGTCACCCCATTTCTCTATTTGTTTTCTCCGGTATGATTGGTTTCATGTCTAGATCTGGAGTCCCCTGATTCGTTGCCTTTCGTGGTCGACCTGCAACATCGTCGCCATAAAACCCTATTCTAGCCGTCGCCGCCATAAAACCCTGATCAACCGGACCTAATGTTTGTTGCAAGAGGCATAATAACCCAAGGGTTTTCAGCGCCACTTTCATCAGAGTTGAAGATCTGGTCGACTTACATCATCTCTTTGTCTTCTCCGCCGGAAAATCGAGGGTTTTCTAGCTATTGTCAGTGGTATTAACCGTGCGATGGTGACATTCATATCTCTGATCGACAACGTTGGTGGCGTTCATATCTTTGGTCGGTGACGACGGTGGTGGCGTTTATATCTCCGACCGGTGGTGGTGGTGGTATTTCGTTGTGTAAAAATCATGTAGAAGATGGGTATTGTATAGGAGAGAGAGAGAGAGAGAGAGAGAGAGGTGGGGGTGGGATTGTATTTTATTTATTTGTTTTTTCGTTATTGTAATAAAAATAAAATGAAAAAACAAAATCAAAATGGCAATTCCGTCATTTTAAATATTTTCATAAAGTTTTGGACCAAACTCGCAACAAAATAAAAAGTTTGGACCTCTGGTGCTAGTCCAAACTTTTTTGAACGAAACTGACAATTTTGAGCTAACCACAGGGACCATTTGTGCAGTAGGCAAATTGTAAAGAAATTGGTGTGCAAATCGCTTCGCTTGGCCCAAGTCTTGATTCAAAAAAAGAGTGCGATTGTTTTTTTTTGACAAAATTGCAAAAATGGTCTTGTGGTATGCATTTTTTTGGGGTTTTAGTCCAAACCATGACTTTTTTGGATTAGTGGTCCTTTTGAGCTAGTTTCTTTGTGTTTTTGGTCTCTCAGTAAACTGAAAAGACTATTATGCCCTTCTCATTTCTTTTTTTATGTCTTTTCTATTTAATTTAAATGAAAAATAAAATAATTAACTAATTTGGGGCTCACATACTCTCTCTCTCTCTCTCTCTCTCTCTCTCTCTCTCTCTCTCTTCCAAAAATCAAAACCCACCATTTCGATTCATGTATGAGTTCATGTTCGTGATTTCTAGGAAACCCATCACTCCAAAAATCAAAAACCGAAACCCAATTTCAAAAAGATATACATTTCCAGAAATAATAACAAAAAAACAGAAATCAAATGTGTGTTCTTCAGAAAACCATTTTTCTGTTTGTTCTTCAATCCAGGAATCAAATATCCAAGTGTTCATCTCTGAGTTTATTTTCTTCATTTTTAAGAAATCCATCATTACAGAAATCAAGAATCAAAACCCAAATTTAAAAAACCAATTCATAAATCGATCAAAAAACGAATCCAAGGCTACAAACACACACCCAAATGTTATCTTTCTTCTTCTCAGTCACAAACCCAAACACTTCATCGAGTGTGGCCTGTTCGGGTTGAGAGCCAATCTTCTTCTCCAAAATCGATTTACAGTCTTCGATTTTGATGTCAAATGATAACAATCATAGGCTGAAGAATGGGGCTAATCGTCATATCCACGAAGAGGGTTTTAAGAAAGATATGAGAGATTTGGAGGAAATATTATCGAACTTAAATCCTATGGCTGAAGAATTTGTGCCCCTTCACTCTTCAAGAACGTTTATAATAGGGCTCTACTACAACCATTATCTGTTGCTACTCACTTTGGTTATGCTGTTGTTAATGATTTCCTACTCCAAAATAGCCATACAACTATGGTGCAAGAAACCTTAAAGGCATCAAAACATTAAAAAGAGAAAAGATAAACCTATTGTGAGAAACCTGTTTAATGAACAAATGACCAAAACAAATGAAATACAAAGTTTCAATGGAGCCCTAATCACAACCAATAAATTTGCCGATAGGAAACCAAATTTTTTTCTCTCACTTCAAATCCACTGCCTTTGTCCCTCGTTCTTCTTTGAATCGCGGATATGTATGTGGGGATTCTACTCTTCAGCTTCCAGAGTGTGTTTTGTGTTTTTAATTTATGTGTGTGTTTATGGTTGGGGAAGAAGAAGCGGGGGTGGGGTGTGTTTTAGAGAGAGATAGAGAGAGAGAGAGAGAGAGAGATAGAGAGCGAGAGCGAGGTATGTGGGCCCCTATTTTTATTTTATATATATAAATATTTATAGGAAAAAAAGAAAAATGGAAAATAAATATAATAAGGGCAATTTAGTCTTTTCAGTTTATCGAAGGACCAAAATTACAAGCAAACTAGCTCAAAAGGACCACCAATCCAAAAAAGTCGTAGTTTGGACTAAAACCCCAAAAAAACACATACCATAGGGACCATTTTTGCAATTTTGTCTTTTTTTTTAATCTAATTTTAAATGCATTGGGCTATTTTTTGAATAGTACTATTTAAAATTAATTCTTTCAATTCTTGATTTATATTATATTTTTTTAAGGAAAATGACTTATTAAGGTAACTAACTATTTCAGTTGTCCATGTATAGATAATGTTCTTTTTTTGTACACATTAAGGTAACTAACTTGTTTTATTTGTTCACATTTAGGTAATATGACCGGCTATCACCTGTTTTTGCTTATGTGACATCCACCTGGCATATGACTTGAATACGTTGCACCTACGTGGCATGGTGACTTATTAAGGTAACTAACTATTTCAGTTGTCCATATATAGGTAATGTTCTTTTTTTGTACACATTAAGGTAACTAACTTGTTTTGTTTGTTCACATTTAGGTAATATGACCGGCTATCACCTGTTTTTGCTTATGTGGCATCCACCTGGCATATGACTTGAATACGTTGCACCTACGTGGCATGGTGCATATATTGTCTTCATTCGATTACACTATAACTGTGTCATACGATTTCACCCCTAATTCTAAACCCTAGATCGATCGACGATGGCTTCTTCTTCCTCATCTTATTCTTCAAAACGACAAGATGAATTTCAAGCTGATCATCCATGTGATTGCAGCTTACCATCTCGTGTGAAGATTTCAAGAACTCCTAACAACCCTGGAAGAAAATTTAGAGTTTGTCAAAACTCGATGGTAAATCAATATTGTTGAATATGTTGCAGGAGTTCTTGAAATCTTCACACGAGATGGTAAACCGCAATCACATGGATGATCAGCTTGAAATTCATCTTGTAGTTTTGAAGAATAAGATGAGGAAGAAGAAGCCATCGTCGATCGATCTAGGGTTTAGAATTAGGGGTGGAATCGTATGACACAGTTATAGTGTAATCGAATGAAGACAATATATGCACCATGTCACGTAGGTGCAACGTATTCAAGTCATATGTCAGGTGGATGCCACATAAGCAAAAACAAGTGATAGCCGGTCATATTACCTAAATGTGAACAAACAAAACAAGTTAGTTACCTTAATGTGTACAAAAAAAAGAACATTATCTATATATGGACAACTAAAATAGTTAGTTACCTTAATAAGTCATTTTCCCTATTTTTTAAACCAAATAAATGAAAGCGCTGGATCATGATGAGACAAATAACCGATTCATTTAACACACCTACACCTACTACAGAATCAAGTTACATTACATTTAATACCAAAAAATTTAAACAATACTTTTTCTAACGAATTTGCTCCTGATTATCATTATCAGACGCCTTCACGTAAAATCGATTTAGCCTCTCCGAAGCCCTCTTAACCTACAATGTATACCCAAATTAAAGCTTTTATTTAATGCCAATAATAAAACACCAAGAAATTAAGATTTTTTTTATACAATTACCTGATCATCCCAATCGGTTGTCCATGCCATATACACAAGCGCAAGTGTTTGTGTGACAACACCACCGATCATTCCAATCCATATACCCTGCTCAGATACCCAATCATAAATTGTCATAACTCATAAAGTCATAACCATAAACATTTTGGAAGAAAGTCTTGTTTATCTACCTTTACTTGGAGGTTAGTCATGTAACCAAGCAAAGCTCCCATTGGAATACCAATCAGATAGAAGCAAACAAGGTTCACTATCGCTACTGTACCCTGCATTCCCGCTCCAACCGCCACCCCTAAAAACAAAAATAATTCATATCAGCAAAAAGGTCATTCTTCGAGTAACCTACTAACCGAGTTATTTGGAAAGTAGAAAAGTGATTTACCTGAGAGAACGGGGTAAATGCTGTTGAGTAAAACCGAGAAAGAAAGGAGCAAAGAAAGGTCTGATACTGTATCTGCGACTCTTACATCGTCTGTAAACAAGTAGGCCAGTTTTTTTCTGAAAATTAAGCAAACAATGAAGAAAAAGACTCCGATTGCAATAGAAGTGCCCAACAAGACTTTAATCGAGAACTTTGCTGCTTTCGCATTTCCTCTCCCTAATTCATTTGCAACACGGACACTGCATATTAAATGTTCATCAGTTACACATGTATAACGTAGAAAGAAAAAAAAAACACATGGATTTTAAGGAGCATGTTGTATTGTGTTTGGCATTCATTAGTTTAATTAAACTGAGACTGGTCTCAACTCTCATTAAAGACAAAAAAAAATTGCAACTGATCATCTCTTGATTTCTTGTCTATGTAAAAGACGTAAATACCCTTGGCATCTTTATCATCGAAAATAGCCTTAGAAAGTTTGTTCATTCCCATAAACACAGTCTTAATGAACTTTATGAATGATTTAATGTGTTACATACATACCATGCGGCACCTAAGAAACCGAGGCTGATCATGAACTCCCACGCATTAATGTTCAGGCTGCAAAATTTCAACACATTAACAAATTTCTAAGAAAATAAAGAATTGAAACACATATCAAAGAAAAATATAATTAAAGAAAAAATCAAAAATGAAAACAATAATTTTGATACCATATCGAGAAGGCAGATATCGCGACTTCCGCATTTGCCATGTACCCCGCAAGCAAGACTAGCACAGCATTGTACCATAACTCCAAGCTAAGTGTTATAAAAACAAAAAAGAGTCCTTTATTTTTATTGACAAAAAGAAAAAGAAAAAACAATTTTTTTCGAAAGCAGTAGAAAAGACAAGGTTGTTCCTGATTTACCAGACCATAACACCGGAAGATATCGAGAGCTTCACAACAGGTAACAGATCCTTAAAAGCAGCCGATGTAAACCCCCTCCAAGAATACGGACACCAACCACCAAATATATAAACAAACTCTCCCATCACAAGAAACCACGACGACATAGACAAAGCAATCATGGCCCCACCAACACCAAGGTTCAACTTATACACGAACAGCAACGACAAAGGGATATGAATCCCGAATTGAAAAATCGAAAGCCATGCAATCACCATGTTCTTCAACTGTGCTTGAAGGTACATTTGTATTGTGAGGCTAAACACGAAATTGTAAACGAAAGGGATGAACCATAGAGAAATGTATCCACCACTGTTTGATACGGATTCGTCTTCGCCTAAAAATTTGAAGATTTGTGTCGCGAAGATGAAGATCGGGAGGAGGACAGTTAGAGAGATTAAATCAACGATCCAGGATCGTTGTAGGTAGATGCCCATCATGTGGTGTTGACCGGCTCCGAAGGCTTGACCACACAGAGTTTCGGTTGCACTCGACATTCCTAACTGCAGATACATGGAATGGAATGATTACAGGTTGTACTGCATTTGTCGAAATTTAACGAAAACATATAATTTACTAAAAAAATAACTAAAAAACAAACTTACAAGAATTCCATTGACGAATCGGACACTAAGTGTTTGGACAAGGGCATAACCGGCAAGATCTAAGTCGCTGATGTGGCCGATGAATGATTGTGTGACAACAATCGTTCCAAATGCACAAACTCTTGATATGACACCTGGCAATGCAACCCTCCAAATCTTTCGGGATTCATCCCATATTCTTCCTTTCAAGTCACCTTCTTCTTCTTCTTCATCACGTCTAAGTAGTTTTGCTTGAATATCATGATTCATGGTTCTTGAAATCAACTACAAAAGCATTAGAGTATTTGAGTTCTATCCATCTTACAATGAAAATTTACTACCATATAAATAAATATGTTACCCAACAAGCTTTTTTTGAGTTTTTTTTTTTTTTATCAACAACTGATTTTTTTCTCTAGCCTCTAATTATATTGGTTTCATTTTAATAACTATGGAAGTACTTACTGGCTCATGCTAAGTTATACTTATATGTGTATTTTTATGCACATGTACTTCTTTTATTTTGTGTATCTAATTTTTAAAACCCATGTACCCAAATTATATATTTTACAAGGTTACCATTTCTTAATAATCAAAATTTATAACATACATATTTATTAATTAAACTTATTGCTAAGTTATCAATGCATTATATTTTTAACTTTAATTTAATCATGAATTGAATATTTTTTTTAAATATATCATTATTTATAAAATAATATAATAAATTAAACTAATAAGTAAATATAATAATATAGTATTATATTTAGTTTGTAATGAGGTCTCACCTATAATAATATGACCTTTCAAAATGACTTTTTAATCTAGAAAGTGTTGTAACTATTAACAACTAAGGTACATATCCTTTCATAACATAATAGTAGTGTACTATTTTAAAAGAATCTTGCTTTTTCAAATTAAAACTAAACATGAGTAACTAAATCACTATAAAGACAACCCACCTGTAAAATATCATTCCCAAATTTGGCTAAAAAAGTTCTAGTGTCTGAATTTTTTTTGACATGCCAATTACTTGTCCATATCATATTGGTCATGTGTGTGCTTGTCAAAAGGTATGTCTGTCAAATTTGTTTACACTATCAAATTGGCTAATATATCTAAAATTATATACTTATTCCCATAGTACCTTCTAGTAAATGACAAATTACTACCCCAAAATGTTCAACAGAAAAGAACAAAAATTCTCATTGGTCAAAGCAGGTCATTGACCAGTAGCACTATCCAGGAAAAGATGCAAGAAAAGACGCGACGATAATAGCAACAGATTGATAATACATCATAATGACTATAATGTCTGTCCATCATGGCATCATCACAGTTACTTTTCATATTGGTTCATTTTATAAAACTTGTGAAATAAGAGTTATTTGTTGTTAGATGATGTGTGGTAACAAAAATGAAATAAGTTCTTTTTCTAGAAAGAAACTACTAAATAAAAGGTAAATAGTAACAGTCGCAAAATAGATAAATATTATGAAAAAAATGTCTAAAAGATATATTGTGCTCAATAACAAAGAACACTTTGTTCCTTGTAAACTTAAATTCATAAACGCGTCATTCAAGTCTTTAGGATGGAAGGCTAAAATTCATATAAATCCAATTTTCTTAATATGTGAAAACTAAAATATCATAATTGAATTCCTTCTTGTATTTTAAATAAATAAAGTGAACTTTTTATGATATGATAGGACAAAAACATCCCAAAAAGTTTTTTTAAAACTTTTTCAGTTTTGTGCCTAAAAAGTTGGTCAGATGTATAGCTAGCATGTACTCCGTATAAAGATTAAAATAATATAATATTAAAAAGAAAACAAAAAAGAATATTCAGAATGGAAAGGGACTTTACAGCTTAATAAAAGGTCTCATCCCTTTCAGTTCTTACTATAGACGTGATCTAGATTCCACCAATTAAAGAAATAAATAAATAAATAATG